CTTAGGGCTAGTGCTCTCTAAATGTTCATTGTTATGGTCTCTGGGGCTGTAAACTGCCCTCATTCTGCATCCAGAAATCCCAATGCATCAAAACTGAGTACATGGCTCAGTGTTACTTAAAAGCTTTTCGTTTGCTATTACAGACATCTCTTCTATTGAGCTAAACTGGAAAAAAAAGTGAAATCTAATGGTTTTCAACCTCCCTTACATATTTGTAAATGTGAGACTTTTAAGTTCTTTTTACATGCAGATGTTCTCCTTAAATGTATGTGTTGCAATGCCTTGAAAATAAGTATGATACTGTACCAAAATAACATTTTGGTTGAGAATGTTTGGTTTACAGGTTAAATCCTTGTCTATGCATTTTCCTTTCTGCATGCAGAAACCTATATTAGCACATGTTTATAAAAGATGAAATCCTTTCTAAGCCCCAGAGAGCCAGAATTATCTTCCTTTTCAGAGCATGGAAACCAGCAGCACACACTCCTGCACACCAGCGCCCTTCTCAGCCTGTAGAAACGCCACCTGCAAAGGGCTGTGAGTACCTGTTCCCTCAGACCTTGACCTCTCCACCATGGCCAGCTCTCAACTGGCAACCTGTGTGGTGAGGCTCTCCCGGAGTAATTGCATGCAGAGCACCTGACAGCCATGAGACAGGAGTGACAGAGCCAGGCTGTGCATGTGACTGAGCAGCAAAATGCGCTACAGCTCCCGCTAATCCCTTCAGCTCCCAGTTGTTCAGCACACGCCGCTGCCCAGCTCATCTCCAGGAGAGTCAAGGTGATGCTTCCACCACGGATTGAAATGATGGCATCTCCTGCATTATGTGTCCACACGTGTCTTCCAACGTACACTTCAACTTTTCTCAATAGATCATGCCTCAAATCTTTTTCTTTTTTTGGAGAGGACATTTATGCAGGTATTGCCCAGAAACCAACAAGCCTTGCCTACACTAGAGCCAGCTTGGAATGAATATTGCTTGTTTTAAAGACAACTTAAATTTTTCCACTTACAAATTTTCTCAGGCTTCAGAATGCTGGGTTGAAATTCTTAACTTTTCAAAGATGACTTTTGCCAATATTGTATTTCCAGCAAAACCAGATTTTTTTTCCTATTCTAAACAAATGGCAAGGTTGCTTGGTTTTTGCTGAGTAAAAAGCACTGTGTAACTTACTACATTTAAAAAATATGTAGACTAAGGTCAAAAAAGACCATAAGGACTTGTAAATTCAGGCTAACAACTGCTACCTATAATTATAATTTCATTTGATATGTATATAAGTCCTGGGGTGTGGGGAGGAAAAGCTCTTCCAAAACTCTGAAAGCATCACAATAAGGATGTATTCTACCTGCTAGAGCCTGATGACATAAGGTCTGTAAGAGGTACCCTTCACTAGGGAACCAAGGAGCAGCAATAAAGGCTCTGCTATCATGTTCTTCAAAAGGAAATTAATTCCATTTAATTCTGCGGTGACTGAAGCTGACTGGAGCTGACTGTGCCCCAAACCTGTGCTCTCTCATTCCACTGCTCCTTCTTCATGGTTTCAGAGTTTGTTCAAAGCCATAACAGATACTGTCAGCAGAAGATGCCCTCCAGGAGCATAGAAAATATAGAGGCAGATCCATATAATCAAAATAACTATAGATTGTATAATATACATTTAGCCCCTATTTGTACACTACCATGCATATTTATTTTATTTTTTCTGCTGTTACGACAAACAAGAACTACTAATGTCAGAGTCCAACCCAATGAAGTTTAATTTCATTCATTTAACATTTTACTTTTCATACACAAACAGAAATTATTTGGTCAAGGGAGAAAAAACAAGCAATGACCAAACAAGTTCTTTAGCAGTATCTAAGCACCACTAAAAACGTAGATGTAAACACAGAGAAGAAAACCTGCATTTTTCAAGGCTGGTTGCAAATAGACTAGCTAATTTTGAAAAATTGCATCTAAAATTATATACCATATTAAATAAAGGAATACAAGGGTTCTGATAGTAATAACTGTCACACTACATGAAACACTGACAACAAAGGTAAAGATTTACATTGTTTTGGGCAGTTTTTTTTTTTTTTTTTAATGCCAATTCACAAAGCAAGCATGGAGTGTGAAAATCCTATAACTTCAATAATAATTTTTAGTACATGATTAAGAGTAATGTTCTATTCATATAAAATTACATAAATTAGATACAGAATTTTAAGGGACAAGGTTGATGATTCTGTTAACAGTTTTCATATTCTTGACTTTCTTATCTCCAAGTGAAAAAAATTAATGAAATTTCATATCACAAAGAATATATCATCTGGCTGTAAATGAAATGAGTCAAAGAGGGGTCATTAAAAAGTTTTACATCCCAAACAATCATCAACAAATCAATGGAATACAATGTCATGCTTAATATATATAGCAGGGAGGAAAAAAATGGAACTTTCTGTAGTTCTTTGCAATAACAGATACAGACATGAGTGTTAGCACAGTAACTCTGAATTATTCACACGTATATTTTAATTATTCAACAAGAGGCCACAGAAAGTAGACATGAAGATTTCTTTTAGATGTCTCACTGGGACTGCTCTTTGTGTAGACAGTGAGATGATGCTGGACAGCCCAACTCCCCTGCAACCTGTGGAGCAACAGACGAGGCAGAGGAATGGAGAGCTCCTAACATGCAGAGAACTTCTTCAATCCTGCAGTAGGAGGAGCTACTTCTTCTAAAATTGCTTTTGCAGCAGGTCCAATAGAGTCAACACATTCACAGTTCTCTCCAGCAGCCTCGGCAGCTTTTCCCAACTCACCAAGCAGCAAAGTATGCACTTGGTAACAGCAAAGTTTCAGATAATTCCAGTTGTTACTTCAGTTGGCCTTATACCCTAAATACTAGAAAAGTGTTTTGCAATAACTAGTTTTAACTAACATCCTTGCATACACAGAATTCCCTCCAATTCCTCATTTTATTGTATAAGGAATGCAGGATCAGCCCTTGAAAGTTCTTCTTCTTTGCCAGAGTCTTGAAAATCCTTAAAAGTGGAACAAATAGGATCTAAAAGGAGACATACATCTCCCCCTACCTGCAGAGCCCTTTATCCTCCTGCCCCAGGGAATGACATTCATGGAACTACTTCAGTCTCAAAGATGAAATAAACTGAAATCTTACAACCTGCCATAGCCATAGTACATCAAACTGTTCAGACTGGAAGTGTTTGAACCCCTTAACAAAGCCTGTTACTAAACTGGCACATTTAGCCCAAGAGGTTTTAAAAACAATTTGCACATATCTTTCTACACTGGTTAAGAAATGACTGATCTGCTTTAACTGGCTGTGTCCCAGTAATGGACTATCTGACCAACAGTACCCACCAAGAAACCACGCTTAAGAAGTCTGTGTACAAGCCTCTAACTTTTTTACTCTCTCAAGAGAAGAAGCACAAGGTAATAACACACAGATTATTCTTTATCGTCAAGATCCCCGAGAGCCTTTGTAGAGTGGAGGCAGAAATGCTAAATACACAACAAAACCAAAGCTTAAGTCTTCACTACTCGCCCTTCCTTGAAAACTGCCTTTTACTGCTGTAGGAAATATTATCTTATTACCACAAATTCATTGGAGTTGTGCCATCATACCTGGCTAACACCTCTCTAAGAAAATTCAGGTTTGGTTTTGAATGAAAAAAAAAATGTGCCTATAGAAAAGTAGTGCTGCCTGATAGGATTCCTGATGCTTCAGGCTGACATAAAAGCTTTTCTTCCTTAACTTTAGCAATCACTCCTTTCATAGACAGGCCAAGTTCACTGTAAGAGTTTAACTTCCAACTGGAATTAGGAGGTTCACGTAGGCAACCCAAACTACACAACAAGCAAGTACCATAACTTTTCATGCTCTGACTTTGTTGCTGGTTTCCCCTAAATGCTGGGCCCTTCACAGAACTGGTGTATGTGCTGTCTGTTTAGGGGGGTGGGGACAGGAGAAAGGGGAAGACAGCTCACTGTACGTCAAAGCAAACCAGCAACCTAGCAACCATATATTAAAAGGTGTGTGTGTTTTTGTGGGTGTCTGTGTGCCAGGAATAACTGAAGCAGATATTATTCCATTTGTAATTCAAAAAATGTGAAAAGGGAAGGGGAGAAACTCCAGTTGCTGGTCTATTTTGGGGTCTGTCAAAATCCACTTTCACAATACAGAGTGGTAACACTTTTGATCTCATTTTTCGTAATCAAAAATGACAATCTGGACTTGAGCAAGTTCTTAGTTTTGGTTGGAAAATAGACCCTTCAAAGCAGAAACTGAACTTATTTCACATACTATGCTTTCTTCCAGCTGGCAATATGCAAAAATCAAAGGGGCAGAAAGGCTGCCTCAAAGACTTCACACTTACGTTAAGAGAATACTTAGAAATGTACAGAATACTTCCAGATAGATACATTTAACAAACAGAAACATCAAATATTCTCAGGGAGTGGAACTAGCTTTATAAAGATTCATTTTAGTGAGTGAGAAATTGAGTGAGAAATTTACTCACTCAATTTTGCCGAAGTTTCTCATTCCACAAGGCAACTGAGAGTTTAGATCAGGATATGCAAGCTCCCACCCCATCATATGCGGCCCCAGGGGTGCACATAAACTTCTGATCTGCACCGTCCCACTACACCAGCATGTGCCTCTCCGCCAGGGTGAGCGTCGCACCCCAGGTGTAACTTTGATGAAAACGAATGGGTCCCTGCGTGCCGTGGAACAGAGAAGGGGGAACGGGGAGGCGCCTGAGGCTGCACCCACCACCTCACCCCTCCAGCTACACTGCCCACGTTGCAGCTGCCGGTAGCCCGTGGCAACCCTAAGCCAAGAGCAGCCAGCACATTGCCACCAACAGCCCGCCGCCACCTCCCCAGGTGTCCCGGTCTGCAAGGCTGGGCTCCTACTCCTCCTCACCACCACCACCGCACCAAACCATCACCGGCAGCAGGAGGGGAAGGGAAGGGAAGGGGGAGTTACCTTGTTTTTGACCCCGCAGTGGCAGCAGACAGTCCACAGGTACTTGAGGGTCCTCCAGAGCAGGATGATAAACAGTCCCCCAAAGAAAGTAACCATGGATGAGGCGAGGAAAGCCCACCACATGCGCTGTCCGCGGCTATCGCAGGGCACCTCCATGGTCACCGGGATGATGAGCGCATCCATCTTGGGCACATTGACGGGGGAGGAGGACGAGTCTGTGTTGAGATTGTTGGCGTTGATATTGTTACTCATTCTAATGCCGCTGCCGCTGCCGCCCGGGTAGGAGCCGCCGCCGCTGCCATTTGCCATAGCTAACAGCGAGCCGGGCGCGCAGGGGCTTCCGAGAGCTCCTCCCGCCGCCAGCGCCCCCCAAAAAGCCCATCACCAGCCATATTGCTGCTGCTGCTGCCGCCGCTGCTCAGCGGGGAAAGATATGGAGAGTAATAAAAATAAAAAGCCCCCAGTCAAAACAAACAAATAACCAAACCAACCAAACAAACAAAAAATAAATAAATAAAAGCAGGTGAAGAAAAGCGACCGCACAATTCCCGGGTCCCTCTCGGGAGCCGACAGGCCGGTGAATTCCGAGCGTCCTCTTTGTACGGCGAAAATAATATTTTTAAAAAATTAAAAATAGTAATAAAAATATAGTCTCCTCCTCAGATTCCCACCCCTTCCTTCTCCCGCATACACAGCCCCTACCCCGCCCACCCCCAAAAAAAAAATCATCCACCACCACCACAAACTGATGCCTCTGAGCGTCTCTCCGAGATACCCAGCGCTGCGACCCCGCTGGCCTCAGCGGGGATCCCTCACTCAGCCTCCGCCGCGGATCCTCCCGGAGGTGGTCTGTTATTATTGTTAATAGTGTTTAACTTGTTATCAGCGATACTCAGTCACCCCCCACCCCCCCGCGCACCCTCCTCCTCCTCCTCTTCCAAGTCCAGCCCCTTCCTCTCTTCTTCCCCTCTCGGTGCCAGCAGCAGCCTCCTGTGGCTCCTAATTCATCCTCCGCTGGCCCATCTGTGCGTGCGCTGCCGCTGCCGCCGCCTCCTCGCCCATCCTTCGGGAGCTCCCTCCAGGGCCCGGCTGTCGCTCAGGCTGTTGCTCCCACACGCGCAGCGGCGCCGCCGGCTCCCGCCCCTCCCTCTGTGCCGCCGGGGGACGCGACGGCCCCGCAGCCGCGGCCGCGGCCGCTCCGGGGGCGCATCAAAGGCCCCGCGGGCCGGGGGTGCCGGGCGGGCCGGGGGTCGGGCGCCGGCTCAGGCGGGCTCCCGGCGCCCCATGGGCAGCGCTCCCCGCCCCGCGGCCGCTCGGTCCAGCTCGCGGCGCCGCCGAAGCGCCGAGCGCCCGCTCCGGAGGACGGCGAGGCGGGCGCGGGGGCTGCGTGCCGGGGCGGACGCTTCACAGGTGGCGGCGAGGCGGTGCCCGGCCGCGCTGGGGAGCTGCCGGTCCAACAAGTCCCGCCGGCCCTGGCGCGTCCATCGCCGCCGCGCCGCGCTCTCCGCAGCCGCGGTGGGGCGGGGGCAGGCGGCAGGGCCCCCCCGCGCCGGCCGTGCGCGGGGCCGGTTCGAAGGATGTCATGACGCAGCGGCCAACGCACGGCGCAGTCACGGCCCCGGCCCCCGCAGCCCCGCCGGGCCCCCGCGCCCATCGCCCGCATCCCTCGCCCGGCGCGGAACGGCACCGCGGCGAGCAAGGGCGCCTCGGGGCTGCGGCCGGGGGAGCGGGGCAGCGGGGAGGGAGGGAACGGGGCGCGCTCGGGGCTCGCAGGAGGCGTTTGAGCTGCAGCAGCAGGTGCCCGGGGATGCGCACGGCGCGGGAGGGGGGAAGCTGGCATGGAAACGCGCTAAGGGAGCGTGAAATAAACATCGGGGACCGCGGCGTGGGTTTTTCCGCTGAAGGCGTTCGTGGCTTGTCTTTAATTGACACGGGCGAATACTGCAAGCGCTCCGCAAGCGCGCCGTAAATTGCCGCACATCCCAAGAACATTCCTGAATTTAACCCTTGGGAATAAAAATAACAATTTAAAACGACACCTTTGGGGAGGATAGCGTGAAAGGGGAAGCCAGCAAGAAAATCTGGATAGTCATCTCCTACTTTTTTTTCATATTCACGTTGAAAAGCAGAGTAATTTATATGTTTATATGTGTATTCATTTATACATAAATCAAAATCTCCATTTGGCACATGGTCTGCTCACTGGGGTGTCTGTACAAAGTATTATGCAGATCCTCTTGACATCTTTCCAAGGGTAAAATACAGCAGCCTTTGTGTGCGTGACATTCCCCCATCTTATCTAGTTGCTATACCAGCAGAGAACCACCATTATGAAATAGTAATCTCTTAACCTTTAGTAGCAGTAGTTTCTGTTTCTGCATCTGCCAGGAGCTTGTTTGTTTTTGTTTTCTAGTTAAGTGAAGGTAATGAGATTTTATGACTTCCCAAAGCTTTTTACGGGGCTCTCTAACCCTCTCACCCCCACTTTTTTTGTTCAATAACACCGTTTGTCTGACTCAGTGAGTTCATCATGACGTCTCTTTCAAGTCTGCTTCTCCAGTCTGTTCCTTCAAGAGAAGGCTTCCTTTTTCAAGAAGGGTTTAATAGGGGCCTCTGAATAGAGAAGGCATTAGATAATGATATGGAAGTGTATACAGGTAAGAAAAATGCTACTTTACTTTTTCCCAGAGAAAAACAGTTACATAGCAGACCTGAAGCAGGCCATTTCCAGGTGGTGGTTGTAGTGGAATTTAGTTGAGAATTTCTAGATGCAGAAAACTAGTCAGATTGAAAAGAAACTGCATGTCACAGCTGCCACATGCAAGCCCAGACTGCCAGCACTGCCACAGCTGCTGCCCCCTCCCATGTCTTTTCATTACCAACCCTCCCCACAACTAGAGAGCCACTTGGGCTGCAAAGTGTTTCCATGACAGGATCACACAACCAGAACCTGGTCCTCATGGTCATTTGCTCTGCATTCCTGTGAGGAACATCCTTTTCCCAGCTGCACACACACACCTAGGGATCCTTTTATCCATCAGCAAACACCAGGAGTGGAACAAGGGCAGGAGCATCGTACCACAGGCACTTGAAGTCTGATCTTCACAAGTGCCAGGTACTTACAGGCACTGTCACAGCTAATAGAAACTACAAGCCCTGTGCACCTTGCAAGATGAGGACAATGAAGAGCAGCTGCCCAGCATATCCCAGGGAAGGCTTTTGCATGATGGTATTTCTTCCATATTCTGGTCTGGCAGATAACAAGAACTGAGTCTCTGAAGCATAGCTGTGACATACATCCTCTCTTGTTTGAGAGGGCCCAGAAGATTTGACAGAGAGGCTGCAGTCTGAAAATACATTTTCTTGCTTTATAGATTCAGAAGGTATGAGTTAAAAAGTATTTATTGGACTCAATACTGCTGCAGCTGAGCAGTGCAGACACTGTTTTCACAAGCACTCCAGAAGCAAACAGGATTGTTAGGCACTTCTGAAATACCATCCCCATAATACTGTACCCACACATACCAAAGATGGTCCTAAAGAAAAACTCTGACTAAAGCAAAGCAAGTGCACAAAATGTAGTCTGTATGTTCAAGTAATTTGATTCCAACATGTTCACACAGAGTGTACATGCAGATTTGGACAGGGATAGCAGATTTATTGTGATCACTTGTAAAAAGCTGCTTTTAAGTTCTGATGCTCAAAACTGTTCATAAACCAACCAACACATACAGTAGGAGTCCTAGTATATAAATTTCACACTATATATCCAGGGGAAAACCTTTGTTTTATCCCTATAAACAAAACTTATTTACATAAATATGGCTCAGTTCTACAAATATTTACCATGAAACTCACACTGAAAAGTAAATATAGATATCAATTGGTAAGACTTACCTTACCAGTTGAAAGTTTCCTTACTAGGAAATATCTGCAAAAGACAAAGCAAAGTAGGTAACTTTGTATTTTGTTCACCTATTCATAGACAGAGGTAAAAGTGATCCTTAAATTAATATCCCTTCCATTAAGTCCCATTTGAGCTTGCTGCTTTATGAATGAAGAAAGGCCAGCTTTCCAGTGCAGGCTCTATAAAGCAGAGTTTGAGAAAGCCTCCTGGGGCTGTATGCTTCATTTACTGAGGCAACAGCTCCATTTCATGTTGCCTTAAGACTAAACAAGATTTTCAAGCTCTGCATCCTGGAGAGATCTATTCCAAACAAACAGAAAACTTCAATGGATTAGTTTTCAGATTAGTTGTCCATTTAATATTTCAACACAAGAGCTCAAAATTTACTTGGTTAACAATACTATTTACAGAACATAACAAATGCTGTGCTGACCTGTGTTTTTTCCTGTTCTTACCATGTAGCGTAGTCCAGGATACAGTCATGCCTACTCAATGTAATTCTGGAGGATTTGGTTCCAGAAAGCAGTTTTTTTAGCAGCAAGGAAATGACTCCTCTTTATGTTAAACAGTTCCCTCTTGTGGATATTCTGTGTACAGTATCACAGAAGTATTTAAAATATTCATCAGTCCTGGATCTTTGCAATTAAAAACCCCAAATCTGTTCATCAATTCTCCAAACCCCTTAGCATTCTTGTTTTAGCAATTAAATATGTGAGGAAGAACAAGCTATTGCATTTAAATATAATACAACTTGCCCAATTCCACATTATCAATAACAAATTATTTAATAAAATTCAATAAACATAACAAACTAAATAAAGTTGCATAACTGTGCCTAAATGAGTCAAGAGCAAATCGCGGTGGGATTTTTTATTTCGCTTGTATGAGAAAACTTTCCACACATTCCATTAAGAGAAACCATGATTAAAAAAAAAAAAAAAAAAACACCAAGGAAAAAAATATACTCTATATAAAGAAAAGAGACAGTAATGGCAAAGCAGTCAGGGTTTCCAAGGATCCATGTACTAAGTACAGAAGACAAAGAAACTCTGTAATGATAAATCTTTCAATTAAAACTAGAGTCCAGGTAAGTGGCACAGCTTCACTGGTGACACAATATTGCACCAGGGATTAATTTGGCATGGCAGTTAGGAAAAAAGCAACATATGAATGGAGTAACAGCATGAGGATTTATGTGTGCTCTAAATGATGGCTACATTATACAACAAATAATTATTTTTCTTAAGAAGAGTAGTGAGGGAATAAATGTGTACTCCTCCCCAGTTTTTCCTAAAGGCATATATGGTCTAACTGAATCTGGGGAAATGATAGAAAGCATTTGCATGTTATTATCTTGAGGGAAATTATATTTTAAAAGGTTAAAAACTTGTTTACCACGATGTTTTTGTTATATGGTTATATAAAATCTTCCTAAATTAAAATAATAATATAAAATAATAATAGAAAGTTCTAGTCAAGAGACTAGGTTTGTGTTTCTGAGGTCAGTGGGGCACTTGGTCTTGACTTCAAATGCTGGAGACCCAGTGTCAACCAGACTTCAGATATAAGCAGAAATGTCTTGTATAATTAATTCTGAGCCTTACTTTAATATGACTCCTTACTAATCCTACTTAGTCCTAAGATCTGAGTGAAAAATAATACATTTGTAGTGATTAGATGGATGCTGGAACAAAATCATATCATGAAATAATTCTGTGATTTTTGTTGCAATGCAAAATGTTTGCTGTCTGAGATGCTGATGTAAAACTCATAAGGCTGGATC